GTTGTTACTAGATTAGTGGCAAATAGACTAGTTGCAAATAGTGTTTTTATTGTGTATTGCAATTATTAGCAATGCACTCTTGGTGGATTTTTTTTTCTTCTGGTCAGTTCTCGTCTGTTTCAAAATTTTGACGCAACTGTTTTCTACTGACAACTGCTTTCATTTGGGTTCGTTCAGTTCAGTAATGGTTCGCACTGTCACGAGGACGATGTTCGGGTACATCATGGACCGGTGTATGGGTGTTTGTGAATTGTTCCAGCCATGGTATTGAGGGTTATAAACTGCTCTGTCTGCAGTACTTTGGATAAGCTGTCCATTGTTCCTGCCACGGTATTGAGTTAGTAGTGAATTGTTCCATCCACGGTATTGAATTAGTAGTGAATTGTTCCAGCCATGGTATTGTTAGTGAATTGTTCCAGTCACGGTATTGTGAGTTAGTGAATTGTTCCAGTCACGGTATTGTGACTTAATGAATTGTTCCAGTCACGTATTGTGCGTTAGTGAATTGTTCCAGCCACAATATTGAGAGTTAGTAGTGATTTGTTCCAGCCACGATATTGAGGGTTGTAAACTGCTCAGTCTACGGTACTGTTGCACAAATTATGAATTGTTCCAACCATCGTATTCTGGGTTAGCAGTGAATTGTTCCAGCCACGATATTGTGGGTTAGTAAATTGTTATAAATTGTTCCACCTACATTATTATAATTAGTCTTGCATTATTCCAGCCATGACATTGTGTGGTGTAAATTATTCCAATTACGATATTGTTTTAATTTTCATGTTCTCTTCACTTATAAATTTCTTGTACTTTTGTTCCAACTGGAGATGGGTTTATTTTTCCTCTATAAATTAAATTTTTGGTGTTTTAAAACATTTTTTTATTTGCATTAACTTTCTTTGTTTTTGTAACTCTCTTTTCCTTGTTGTTTCACTCTTGTTTTAATATTATATTTGTTCTTGTATTGAGGCTGTATTTTTCTTTGTGCTGTTCTTGTAGTGATGTATTGTTCTTGTACTGTTCTTGTACTGTTTTGTCGTACTGTTCCGATTTCGCTGATGTATTTTGTGTTGCACTGTACATAGGTTGATGTATTTTGTGTATTGTACTTGTGTTGATGAATTTTGTTTGTTGAATTGTACTTGTGCTGATGTATCGTTCCTGTCCAGTTGATGTATTATTTTTTTTGTGTTGGTATTCCATTGTTCAAGGACTGATATTGTTCTTGCGTTGTTGTTGCACTTTTTAATGTTGCATTATTTTTGTGCTGATGTATTGTTGTTGAGCAGGTACTGTATAGCAGTTATTTATTTTGTATTGTTCTTGTGTGGATGTATCGTTTCTCTGTTGCTGTAGCATTACGCGTAGTGATACCCAATTGTTCTTTTGTTAATGTTACATGTTACTTGCTTTGAGATTTTGTTTTTATATTATTTGTCTTTGTTTTGTTGCTGGTTTACGTCAGTCGTGTGTGTGGTGAGTTAGTTGTTTCGGTTCCTTTAATGCCCTTGTAACTATGCTTGTTGCTTGTGTGCTGCTTGTGTTGATAACTGTACCATTGTCTCGTGGTGGTGTTTTGGTCATGTTGTGACATGTAACGATCCCGTCAGACAGCTGAGTTATTTCGGCAAATGATTGTAGCGGCAGTAGAAACAGTGATGATAGTAGGCTTAGTAGTAGCTAGTTGTGGCAGTAGTAGATACAGGAGCAAATGCCGTGGCAGAAGCGGCGAAAGTGCTAGTATAGCTGTACTAAAATAAGCGCTGGTAGTACTAGTAGTAGTAGTAGTAGTAGTATTGAAAGAAGCAACGATAGCGTGAAAAGACGTAGAAGTTTCAGTCTAAGTTAATTTAATAGTATATAAACAGATGTAGCAGAAGCAGTGACAGAAATGGTAGTAGTAGTAGTAGTAGTAGTAGTAGTACTAACAGTGGTATAAAGTAGTAGTAATAGAAGAATAATTAGCAGTAAAACCAACAGTATTAAAACAATAGTTTATATTAATATTATTAACGTGAGCAGCAACAGTAACAGGACTGACTCCAGCAACAGTCGTGTCAACAGTAACGCTGTTGACTCGACTGTTGCTGGCAATGTTCCTTCTCAACATTGCCACCAGAATAACTGTCAACATTCAACGTCATCAAAAACTCCAGGCCAGTCCTCGTCTTCCCTTTTTATTCGTGCAACATCGCGGTCCTTTCAGGACAAATAAAAATCCACATATAAAAATGAAATATGAAAATCATACCTGCAACTATCACGAGGTGATTGATAGAGAAGACGGTTGTTTTTACAAAGGCTGTTGTTGCAGTGTTGGGGAAAAGGAAGATTTCTGTTATTTGCGAGGTACATTTCAGAGCAATCCCGCGTGTGTCAAGGAGGAAAAAGAATAATTTTTCTTAGCCATTTCTTGAGTTCCAATGACCTTATGAATGTTTTATGGGCAGGGATGTGTCTCGTCGACATTTCTTATTGAGGCTGAGTCATGATAACACACCTATGTGGAGGTGAATCGTGGTAATGTATGCTTGCTGTAAGGTAAGTCGTGGTAACACAACCACCTGTCTGAAGGTGTGCCTTGGTAACACACAGCTGCTTTACAGTGGGTCCTGGTAGCATACATCTGTTTAACTATGAGTCCTGGTAACATATATTTGTTTATTCTCACATGTCTTCCCCTTTATCTCATGTTTCTCTCGTATTTCTTTTCCCCATATATGGTATATTAATCATTGTCTCTCGCAACTTCTCACACCTCTCACACCTGCCTCGATCTTACAAGATGCACACTTGACTGCTTCTTTAACTGGGCACTCAACTGTCTTCACACCTCGTAAACACCTGCTGCCTCAACTCAGTACATAAGCCATATGTTGTACTTTTCTCAATATTGATGGACTGAACACATCAACTCCAGGCTGAGGGAATGATTACCTCGAATTCCTTTTCATCTTCCACCGTTCTTCTCTGTACTGAACTGAAGAAGCCACTGTTAGTTTTGTAAACCATTTGCATCACACCTTCTCTATACCTGCCTGCTTACCACACCAGATGTGAACCACACACATGGTTCACATCTTGCACTTGAGAATCCTTTATCTGTGTCTTACACCTTCTAATCCTTTATTTGGTACACATCTGCTTGTAATTAACATTTATTACCCATAATATCTTTATATCATCTTTATATTTTTAGCTATAACGAGGCAGTAACCCCTATGACGCGCTCCAATAACTTTTACCCTTGATATGCTGTCTTATAAAAGTCAGCAATTTCTTCTACAATGTCTCCATTAGCTGTGTTTACATTTTGGATTTTTGGCAAGAAGTTCTGTATATAAGTTGTCAGTGGCACAAAAGGTGTCTGCTTTCAAAAGCCAAACATTAAGGTACTTGAGCGATGCGAGTCAGTCCACACTGACCCACATGACAAATGATCTGCTAACACGGAGATATGTATAGCCGGGCAGGGTTTTATTACACAACGTTTCGCCCAGAGGTGAGCTCTACTTTAATTGAAAATGCTTACCTTTGAGCGAGACGTTGTCTAATCAGTGTTTACTCTGCTCCATATGTCTTTATTTCACTTTATTTTACTGACCGACATTTCGACATTTTTGACATTCACTAGGAAACCTTCACTAACAGAAGAAAATTTGGAGTTAGAAGTCCAATGAGTCTATTTTGAACGAAATCTTAAGGTTCGCTTTTAATTTGAGTACCATGCAATAATTCAGGTGAAAAAGAACGACACATGGATTCTATTTGGTGAAAATAAAGTTCTTCTTTGAGTGATTTGCGTTATGCGCCACCACGAGCGAACCAATTAGTCGTGCATGTCACTGAAAGAGAAAAGAAGTTACTGCATTTGTCTCTGAAGAGACGCAACTTCTTCCGAAATCTGGACAGTGATCGTTCCATAAATTTTACGTCTTTGGGGAAGGAGTAGCGTGGCCGGAGGGAGAAGACTTTGGGGGTACCTTATAAAAATTATTTTCAGAGCCAAACTTCTAGAAAATATTATAGAATCTTTATATTTTATTTAAATAACATTTATTCCTGTAATATTTATATAGTTACTCTGTAATATATAACACAGAGGCTGACGTTTAATTTTTTATGATTTGTGTGTGTTTGTGGCGTCAGAACTCTCCAACACTTGTACGTTTGTTTACGGAAATTTCTGTTTTCCGAGACAACGTGTACACCTGATCCAGGTGTTCAGTATTAATTGTCGTATCTTGTACACTTGGGGAAATGTTTTTTTTTTAATTTACTTTCTGCAGCTGATACACACACACACACACACACACACACACACACACACACACACACACATACACCTTCGCTTATGCAGAAGCCTCTGTGTTGTTCTCTGATACTAGATTTAACTAAGTCGACTGGTACCCTTTAAAATGCCCTCTGACTCACATCAAGCCCAACACATTTCATCCTGAACTCCCCAGAGCACACTTCTCTGTGAACTCTTTCCCACACACTATCTAATTATAGCCTCCACCCCTGCAGCTACCTCTAACTACATTAATGTTCGCTTCATCACATCAGAATTTGTTACCGAGATTCTAAAAAAAACAAAATAGAGAAGAAAATCTTTATTCATAAAAATTAATGCTTATCAAAAATGTGAAATGAGTTGATAACTTTGCTGGCTGTAAACTGTACACTTTGTAAATATGTAAATATGTAAATAATATATATATATATATATATATATATATATATATATATATAATATATATATATATATATATATATATATATATAATATATAAAATGGTGAGCAATAAACCCTTTTGGATCATACAGATTTCCTCCCATATAGATATATTTTTTATTTGTTGATAACCTCATAAAAATAACCTAAAGTGTTAACTGTGAATTGTTCCAGCTGCGTTATTGTGACTTCATTTCTTGCCCATCCCCTCCGTTTCTTAGTCTCTCTCTCTTGAAGATGCTCACGGTATTCTCTCCCACAGGAGGGACAATGTCGGAGGAACCTAGGTTCGTGGAGCCCATCCAGAACGTCACCATCGCCGCTGGGAGGGACGTGAAGCTCTCCTGTGTGGTCGACAACCTCGGTACTTACAAGGTATGTTACTCAGCACACCCTGTATGTTCTGGAGCCTCAGGGGTTACACACACACACACACACACACACACACACACCACACACACACACACACACACACACACCACATAACCACCAAGAGACACATACAAGTGATATATCGGTGACCAAATTTATTGTTGACAAGTACCACGTAACAGAAAAAAAAGGAAAATAGACCTCAGGAACACTGCAGTAATGAAATCATTGCAGACAGTGAAAATACCTAAGAGTACCTGTAAAGAGTAAGTAATCACTGAAAGATAAAAGTGTACTCAGAGAAAATGCTACCACCAAAACATCGAAGAGTACTTGTAAAGGGCAAGTTATCACCAGATCACACGCTCTTATGGTACTGTCATATGTGATTATACAAAACGCTTTCACAAGAGGCGCCTTGATGCAGGCGAAGGGTTCTTGATTAATGAAACTGGAAGTATCCTCTCCTTTTTGGCGTCAAACGTTTCTCTTCCTCCCTTTATCCTTACGGATTTAGCCCTTTAAAATGAATATCATAAAAAGTGACGGTGCACTGTGAAGACTAAGCGCAGGAAAGCAATAAGTATGACGGTATACTAAGAATTCTGTTCACCACGAATGTTTAACCAAAACTGTAACAGCAGCTATGGTACAGTGTCACTTGGTAGAGATTGAATCCTTACACGGTAGAGACAGGTAGATAAAGAAGAGGGGTGTGCAACTGCTGCGTATCTCTACTATGACTACGTTTCGCCCACCATGGACTTCAGACTAATCAAGGCTAAGGGACTGATTACCTGTCAAGGCTTGATGACTGATTACCACATCTATGATTTCCATTATCTCTGTATCGAACCGAGAAAAACCAATGATTGGCGAGACGTTGTTAATAAACACACCCAGGTGTTGCACATATCTTTTTCTTAGAAATATGTCCATAACACACACACACCACACACACACACACATGTCTGAGCCATGGAAGACAGCAAATGTAGTCCCAATCTTTAAAAAAGGAGACAGACATGAAGCACTAAACTACAGACCAGTGTCACTGACATGTATAGTATGTAAAGTCATGGAGAAGATTATCAGGAGAAGAGTAGTGGAACACCTAGAAAGGAATGATCTCATCAACAGCAGCCAACATGGTTTCAGGGACGGGAAATCTTGTGTCACAAATCTACTGGAGTTCTATGACATGGTGACAGCAGTAAGACAAGAGAGAGAGGAGTGGGTGGATTGCATTTTCTTGGACTGCAAGAAGGCGTTTGACACAGTTCCACACAAAAGATTAGTGCAAAAACTGGAGGACCAAGCAGGGATAACAGGGAAGGCACTACAATGGATCAGGGAATACTTGTCAGGAAGACAGTAGCGAGTCATGGTACGTGGAGAGGTGTCAGAGTGGGCACCTGTGACCAGCGGGGTCCCACAGGGGTCAGTCCTAGGACCAGTGCTGTTTCTGGTATTTGTGAACGACATGACGGAAGGAATAGACTCCGAGGTGTCCCTGTTTGCAGATGATGTGAAGTTGATGAGAAGAATTCATTCGATCGAAGACCAGGCAGAACTGCAAAGGGATCTGGACAGGCTGCAGACCTGGTCCAGTAATTGGCTACTGGAGTTCAATCCCACCAAGTGCAAAGTCATGAAGATTAGGGAAGGGCAAAGAAGATCGCAGACGGAGTACAGTCTAGGGGGCCAGAGACTACAAATCTCACTCAAGGAAAAAGATCTTGGGGTGAGTATAACACCAGGCACATCTCCTGAAGCGCACATCAACCGAATAACTGCTGCAGCACATGGGCGCCTAGCAAACCTCAGAACAGCATTCCGACATCTTAATAAGGAATCGTTCAGGACCCTGTACACCATGTACGTTAGACCCATATTGGAGTACGCGGCACCAGTTTGGAACCCACACCTAGCCAAGCACGTAAAGAAACTAGAGAAAATGCAAAGTTTTGCAACAAGACTAGTCCCAGAGCTAAGAGGTATGTCCTACGAGGAGAGGTTAAGGGAAATCAACCTGACGACACTGGAGGACAGGAGAGATAGGGGGGACATGATAACGACATACAAAATACTGAGAGGAATTGACAAGGTGGACAAAGACAGGATGTTCCAGAGATTGGACACAGTAACAAGGGGACACAGTTGGAAGCTGAAGACACAGATGAATCACAGGGATGTTAGGAAGTGTTTCTTCAGCCACAGAGTAGTCAGTAAGTGGAATAGTTTGGGAAGCGATGTAGTGGAGGCAGGATCCATACATAGCTTTAAGCAGAGGTATGATAAAGCTCACGGTTCAGAGAGAGTGACCTAGTAGCGATCAGTGAAGAGGCGGGGCCAGGAGCTCGGACTCGACCCCTGCAACCTCAACTAGGTGAGTACAACTAGGTGAGTACAGGATCCATATATAGCTTTAAGCAGAGATATGATAAAGCTCAGGGTTCAGGGAGAGTGACCTAGTAGCGACCAGTGAAGAGGCGGGGCCAGGAGCTTGGGCTCGACCCCTGCGACCTCAACTAGGTGAGTACACACACACACACACACACACACACACACACACACACACACACACACACACACACACACACACTTATTGGTCACTGAATTAGAGAATTGTGTAAAAAATGCAAAACATCCAGTAAGCAACAGTTCTGTGGGGGAGAGCGCCTTGTTAATGAAAGAGATCGGAAGAGAATAGTCAAACTGGCAGGAAAGCGACATTAACTCAAATAACCACACTTTACAATAGAGGTATGCATAATAGTATCTCTGAATGCACAATGCATCGAGCCTTGAACCTGGGCTACAGCAGAAGACCACACCAGGTTCCACTACTGTCATCTAAGAACAGGAAACTGAGCCTACAGTGAGCACAGGTTCACCAAAACTGGACAGTTGAAGACTGGAAAAACGTCGCCTGGTCTGACGAATCGCAATTTCTGCTGCAACATGCAGATGGTAGGGTCAGAAGAAGCCTTCGGGATGTGGTGGAATGGGTGATTCACAGGATTAGTGTGTAGCCGACAAATCTGCTGCAACTGCTGCAAGTAACGGCGGTTTATCTGAGTCAGGTATTACTCTACACTCTTTTTAAATACGAGATATTATGATTATTAATTATTACTTCTTTGTTATTATTATTACTATTATTGATATTATTACTATTATTATTATTACTATTATTGTTATTATTATTATTACTGAGGCACTAATCTATGTGGGTTATTTATTTCAAGGACTAGTGGAGGCTGGGGGAGGGTCGTAAGTAATGTCTGTTGGGGAGAGGGTCCTAAGAAGCTCTTGCTGGGGAGAGGATCGTAAGAAGCTCTTGCTGGGGAGAGGATCGTAAGAAGCTCTAGCTGGGGAGAGAGTCATAAGAAGCTCTAGCTGGGGAGAGAGTCGTAAGAAGCTCTAGCTGGGGAGAGAGTCGTAAGAAGCTCTATCTGGGGAGAGAGTCGTAAGAAGCTCTAGCTGGGGAGAGGGTTGTAAGAAGCTCTAGCTGGGGAGAGGGTTGTAAGAAGCTCTAGCTGGGGAGAGAGTCGTAAGAAGCTCTAGCTGGGGAGAGGGTTGTAAGAAGCTCTAGCTGGGGAGAGGGTTGTAAGAAGCTCTAGCTGGGGAGAGGGTTGTAAGAAGCTCTAGCTGGGGAGAGGGTTGTAAGAAGCTCTAGCTGGGGAGAGGGTTGTAAGAAGCTCTAGCTGGGGAGAGAGTCGTAAGAAGCTCTAGCTGGGGAGAGAGTCGTAAGAAGCTCTAGCTGGGGAGAGGATTGTAAGAAGCATCTGTTGGGGTCGTTACTTCCTCATGTGTCTGCAGTGTTGTCCTACATGATGGGCGGAGACAGTGAATAACTTTTAATAAGACGAGAAAGAGTTAAATTAAAATACTGAAATGATTTAATTGTCGCATCGAGTCCTGGGTACTGATGCGTCGAGTCCTGGGTACTGATGCGTCGAGTCCTGGGTACTGATGCGTCGAGTCCTGGGTACTGATGCGTCGAGTCCAGGGTACTGATGCGTCGAGTCCTGGGTACTGATGCGTCGAGTCCTGGGTACTGATGCGTCGAGTCCTGGGTACTGATGCGTCGAGTCCTGGGGTACTGATGCGTCGAGGCTGTGCGCGCTTTTGTTGGGGTTTTGTTTTCTGTGTGTATGTTACCTACCAAAATTTCCCTGTGTTGAGCACCAGCTCTTGGGCCCGCTTCTAAACATTTAGTTGATGGGATATTTCTCTCTCTCTCTCTCTCTCTCTCTCTCTCTCTCTCTCTCTCTCTCTCTCTCTCTCTCTCTCTCACTTCCATATTTCCTCTTTGAAAGCGTTAATGTATATTGCTTATGACGTGATATTCCCTAATGCATCCCCATTTTCACTCCCCTAACGCTGCAACTGTCCTTATTAGTGTGTCTATTTGAGTATTCAGCTTCTATCTTTGTCCGCTTTTCCCACATCCTTCCTGTTCACAAAAGACTGTCCTTGTTTACTCTTTCTCAGAGATTACCATTTCCTACTGCATGCACCCATACCTATGTGTGCCTGTGCATAGACACAAAGGTGTGTATATACACTAAAAGGTTTGTTTTAAACCCTTAAAGAGAGAACCTTCCAGGGTTCGCATACCGTTTGTGTACCCCAACGGGTATGCGAGGGGAAAGCCCTGAAAAAGCGGGGGTTATGGTTGTTCAGACACTCAGGAACCATTAGCGTGTTACCGCCAGCACTACCATCTAGCGGGCTGAGGCTAAACTTCAGTTCCTCTGGTCTGATTTGCTTTAATTTCTCCTCCTGGTAGTATTAACTCTGACCGCGGGTTTAATCCCGCCCGTGGTATTGTTTGTTTGCAATCGTGTCATTACGATTTCGTGAGTCAGTATTAACCTTACCTGGTGTGGGTTGAATTTTGGAGAATCACTTCACCTCCACTCTTTTGATCAGGTAATGTGATCTACCAGGAGTATTTCTGTTCATTGTTATTGATTTACCTGGTTACCAGTAGT